CCTGTTTGGAATTTGGTAAATTTATAAGATCTCCCCACACCCTTTCTCTGCAGGAGCCACTTAATTTCTTTGTGAGCTTTGCTGTTAAACTGTGCATAATTTGGGGTTTTCATTGTCCTCCCCCTGCTTTTGAAGCCTCTTTGTGATTTTTTCAAAAGATGTTAATTTTCCTTTTGTTGTTTTCTGTTGACCACTTAATCCTCTCCCATTCCAATTGTTATTCTTATTGGGCCCCTCCAACTTTGCTGTTGTTTGAAATGTCTGTCATCTCAAACTCGCCTTTGTTCCTCCAACAATGATTTTGGGAGCCTCCCTGCTGAGCCACATTCCAAATGTGTGTGTGGCTGGGGATGGGGGGATTTTTGGCCCTCCTTGCTCTCTGACTCCTCTCCATCCTCCCTCTGGTCTATCAGCAAATCCAAGAAGCTCCGAGGAAACACGACCAGTTTTCCTTGGACACTGGAAACTTAAACTCCAGCGGGGTGAGTTTATCAGCTCTAACTCAGCCCTTGGGGGCTGGTGGTGCCTCTGGTGGAAAATGGATTTCTTTTTAAGCCTCCCAGCAGCTCCACAAACATTTCAGAGCTACCTAACCTTGCCACAAAGTGGAAGCAATCAAAAAAAACCCGTGAATCATTCCTTCCAAAATAGTTGAGGAGAGGATGAAGCACCTGAAAGTCTCCCTGGAGGTGCATGTGGATCAGAGGGGGAGTCCAGATATTTATCAGGCACTAAATGTTTTCACTTCAGTTCAAAGAATTTCACCTCAGAAGACCTTGGGCCTTCAACAATCATCCTCAAAGAGGGAGTGGGCATCACAGTTGGGGGGACATCTGAAGAACTTGGGGTGGGAGTGCCCAGATTTTAGAGCTGTTTGGGTCCCAAGGGATGGAAACAGTGGTAAAAGAGCAACTTTAGGTGTCTTAAGCCTAAAGTGGAGATCCCTAACTCAGCTTTAGGTGGGGACCAACTCCATGGCCTGGAGAAGGGCGATAAAGTGGATGAAAATGAGAGATTTCCTCCTTTCTTGTCTGCAGATGGAGTAGTAAAAGTGCCAAACAGGGGGAAGAAGATTTAGGACTGGAAGTTCTGGCACCTTGTTGCTGCCCTCTGGAAAGAGCCAGGTTTCTGGGGACGGTGGGGTTTTAAGGCACTTTCTAATCCTTGGAGCCCCCCAGTTGGCTGGTTTGGGTGGGATTCATTTCTGTGGGTGTTAAAGCAGCAGAACCCCGAGGTCCTGAAGGTGGGCTCACCCCACCCCCAGAGCTTCTGTGCCCTGATTTAGCAGCTCAGCACTTGGCATTTACACCCAGACTTTGTCCATTCCTGGGTGGAAATGGCTCAGGAACACCGAGGTGCTCGGAAAAACGTGCTCCTTTGGGAGAATTTGCCCCTTGCTGGACTGCAGGTGAGTGGCCATGGTGGAACTGGGAGAGCCTGGTCTCCTCACCAGTGACTGTGTTGCACAAACTGGTTTGGTTTGAAGTATTTGTGTCACTTAAAATCGTCGAGGAGAGGGCAAAAAACAGAAGGAAATAATGGCCTTTGGGTGTCACAAAAGCTTGATCAGGGCTCAGTGTTCTCTCTGACACAGTAAAGGCTCAGCCCTGAAAGCTTTTTTTTTTGAGGTGCTACAGCCCAAAGTCACCCAGGTTGGCCATTCCCACCCAAAATGGTCCTGAGAAAACAAGTTAGAGATTGAATCTGAGGCTTTGGAAAAGTGTGATCTTTGCCCAAACCATCTTGGAAAAGAAAGATCCTGGAGAAGAGAAGCTTTGGGGTGACCTGATTGTGGCATTGCAGGACCTGAAGGAGCTCCAAGAAAGATGGAGAGAGACTATTTCCAAGGGATGGAATGGCAGGACAAGGAGGAATGGCTTCAAACTGCCAGAGGGCAGGGATAGATGGGATATTGGGAAGGAATTCCTGGCTGTGAGGGTGGGGAGGCCCTGGCCCAGGTTGTCCAGAGAAGCTGTGGCTGCCTCCCACCTGCCAGAGAAAGGTCTTCTCCTCCTCTGAAGTGGTGCCCATTTCCTGAAGAGCCACTTGGACGATTGTCTGGGTTGAGTTCCAGGTGAGAAATAACTATTTTCCCTACCAGAAACATCTTTAACTTGGTGGTGTCTCTTGAGCTGGTGACAAACTGTGCTTTCCTGAAGCCCATCCAGCTGTTTTTCGGGGATCCTGGAGGTGTTTTACCCTCCACACGTGGTTGGGCATCAGTTCAGTGCTGCAGCTCAGCAGTTGGCCTGTGTCAGATCTGCTCTTTGCTTCAGTAAATTCATTATCTTCCAGGGCTGCAGCAACACAAAGACTCCCTCTGGACAATTAGGACCACAAGGGAGGCTTTGGGAAGCTGATTGTTCCCTCCTGGGAAGAGATGAAAGACCAGAGTGGTAAAGAGAAGAGATTTTTCATTATAGATCTTAAGATTAAACCCGAGGGGCTGCTTGGGCTGGAAATCTGCCTTATGTTTTGTAGCAATAAGTGGATTTCAAATGCTTGGCTCCTGGTCATGTTTGTAGGTAATGGTCCTCTACTTGAGCTCACTCTGCTTTCCTGGAGGTGGATTAGGACATAATTAAATCTGGGGAAGGGTGTAACAAAAACCAGGATTCCATCCCAGCGGATTAATTGCCGGGTCTGGTTTTGAGCCGGGCAGAATCCCTGCAAACACTGAATTTGCTCCATCTTCTCCCTATTTACATGAGAGCCCTTGGCATTTACTGCCAGCAAACGTCAAAGGGATCATTTTCTTGTGCAAATAAAAGCAGGGGGGGAGCTGCTCTCCTGGGTGTTGACACTTCTGTGGCACCGGGTGGGAACTAGTTGGAGTAAACTGCACTTAACCCCCTACTACACCACCAGAGGTGCACAAAGGAGCATTCCTGGAAATGAAACCCAGGTCATTTATCTTCTGTTGCATCTGTAAAAGAGAGTTTTTCTTAAATGGCAAAGGCACCATCAGTGCCTGTCTGATGGGGCATCACTGAACAGCCACTTCTGGGCTGGGTTCGTGTGGAAATTCGAGAGGAATCTGAGCCAGAGGTTTGGCCTGTGGCTCCATGGGCAATTCCAGCTCCTAGAACACCAATCCTGGCACTTCCAGAGTCTGTCCCTTGGGAAGGCAGCGCTGCTGGAATGGGGCAGGGAGCAGGTTTTGCTAAAGACAAACGTGGAAATGTGGGAAAGGCTGAAAATCCCAGTGATGCTGGGAAAGGTCTTTGTGTTTGAGAGGAATTCAAAGCTGGACGAGTCTCCATCTGTCCCACACAACCTTTCCCTGTGCTCAGCCTCTGCCCATCCTTTTGGGATTGCTGCAGCTCCTGGAGAGGCTGAAGAGGGGATGGAACAGAGACAGAAGAGGCTTTGGCTCCCCAAAAGCTGCTCCTCCTCTCTTCTGGTGGTTGCTGGAATCAGGGATGATTTTTAAGTTTGAGCTGCTCATGTTAATGAAGTGCTTTTGGAGCTGTTTTAATTTCATTTTGGGTCTTTTCAGTTACTTTAAATGAGAGGGAAATGGTTACTTTCAACAACATGAGCCCAGTTTAATCCTCCAGCCCAGTTAACCAGCCCAGTTTAATCCTCCAGCCCAGTTAACCAGCCCAGTTTAACCCTCTGTGCCTGGGCTGTCCCTGCTGGGAGGAAGGAGCAGAACCAGCCACCTTGCTTTCTGCTGCTGTTTGACACTTCTTGGCTTTCCCAGAGGAGCAGCATCCCAATGATTTCCACTGTGGTTGTGTCTCCAGGAGCAGATTTGAGGAAATCTCCCCTGGTTGGATGGGCAGGGACAGGAGCAGCGGGAGAACCAGCGTTGGCAGAGCAGTGGAGCTTGAAACCATCCAACTGGATAATCCTCTGGGATTATTCTTTGTGCCTCTCTCAGTAAAAACGAGGGCAAAGCAACCCAAGCCAACCCTGATGTGGTTTTACTTCCCTCTGCTGCTTTGCTGGGTCCCTTTCACACCAAACACAGAATCAGGAACACTCAAACCTCACTGGGATCTCAAGGTTCCTTCTCACCTCATGCAAACAGATAAAGATTTGCTGCTGAATTTTGGGAGAGAATCAAGCTTTCATCCTGACTGAGCAGCCATTTTTAAAGACAAACCCCAATTCTATTGATTATTTCCCCTCTGGCATAGCCTTGCTTGATGCTGAAAGCACAGCCAGTTGTTAACCTACTTTTTCAGAGTGATGTGTCCTCCAGCATGGAAAGACCCAGGGAGTGCTGGGGTTTTTTTTTTTTCTTTGCAGTAAGATGTTTTTATTTTTCAGCTCTGAAACACGGGGCTGAGGGAGGGATGAGATGTGAGATAAGAAAGAGCTGAAGGCAGCAGGTCACTCATTCAAGGTGCCAAATCCCAGCTTTTCTGTTCATCTGCTGTTTCTGGCTTAATGACATTTTCAATACTTTAATATTTCAATACTTTATATTCAGCATATATGCAGAATATATTCAGAATATATTCAAAATATTCAGAAACGGCTCCATTTGCAGTCATACCTGAAAGCAGCTCTAGAAACTCCTTGGAAGGTAGGAAGAACTTTTCATCCCTGGATGTTTTACTTCCAGTTAGCCTGGGGAATTTTTGTTAAACGGCAAAGAAACCTGACTAATAGGGAATCACCAAATATTGGGAAGGAATTCCTCTCTGTGAGGGTGGGGAGACCCTGGCACAGGTTGGGCAGAGAAGCTGTGGCTGCCCCTGGATCCCAAGACTGGAATCAAATAGAAAAAACCTTCTTGAAAGGCATTTTAGGGCAAATTACAAAATCCAAAAGGCTTCCAGAATGCAGAATATTGTTATAAATTTGTCTTGTAAGGCAGAAACTGAGAAGAAAATCTGACACATGGGGCTCTGACCTCAGAAATCACATTTCCAGGAGGCAGGTAATGATGAGACCTGTGCTTAGGCTGGCTCTTTTTTCACCTGCCTGGCTTTTCTAATTGATAATTTTAATTTTAATACTCTGTTGAAGGTGGATCAGAGCAACAGGATCAGCAAGGAAGAAGGAACAGCACGGATGGAGCCCTTGGAAGGTGGGGATTTAGGTAGGTGTAGTGTCCAGGGACAGTGAGGAGGAGGATGAACCTTCTGGTGGAAGGTGATGAGATGGAATGAGATGATCTTTAAGGCCCATTCCTGCCCAAACCATTCCATGATTCCAGACTGCAAGGCTGGAGGGAGGCAGAGACAGCCCCCAGGAGGGATCCAGGAGACCTCTCAGGTTGGCACAAGCAGTGCCCGGGGTCCAAAGGGGCAAACTCAAAGGTTCCTCTCGGACCCCAAAGTTCCCAAAGCTCTCCCAAAGGTGCCTCTGGCCCTGCAGGTCAGCACAGGCCAAAGCCATGGATACACTCACTCAGCCTTCCCCTAAATTTCTGTCTCCACTTGAACTCCTCAACACAAAAGAGGGAATTTCATGGGGTCCCAGGATGGTTTGGGCTGGGAGGGACCTTGAAAATCATTTAGTTCCAACCCCCTGCCATGGACAGGGACACCTTCCACCAGCCCAGGTTGCTCCAACCTGGCCTTGGACACTTCCAGGGATCCAGGGGCAGCCACAGCTTCTCTGGCCAACCTGTGCCAGGGCCTCCCCACCCTCCCAGCCAGGAATTCTTTCCCAATATCCCATCTATCCCTGCCCTCTGGCAGTGGGAAGCCATTCCTTGTGTCCTGTCCCTCCATCCCTTGTCCCCAGTCCCTCTCCAGCTCTCCTGGAGCCCCTTTAAGCCCTGGAAGGGGCTCTCATATCTCCCTGGAGCCTTTTCTTCTACAGGTGAACAGAATAAAAATAATCTAACAAAATAAAAGTGCACTTTTTCCAGAAGGCTCCTCGTGCTCTGGAGCAGCAGGAGGGGCTGAGGGAGCTGGGGGGGCTCATCCTGGAGAAAAGGAGGCTCAGGGGGGACCTTCTGGCTCTGCAACCCCCTGACAGGAGGGGGGAGCCGGGGGGGGGTCGGGCTCTGCTGCCAGGGAACAAGGGACAGGAGGAGAGGGAACGGCCTCCAGCTGGGCCAGGGGAGGCTCAGGTTGGACAGGAGGAGGAATTTGCTGCTGGAAAGGGTGGTGAGGCCTTGGCAGGGGCTGCCCAGGGAGGTTTGGAGTGCCCAGCCCTGGAGGTGTCCCAGGAAGGCCTGGCCGTGGCACTCAGTGCTCTGGGCTGGGGGACAAGGTGGGGATGGGGCACAGGGGGGATCCATGGGCTGGGAGGGCTTTTCCAACCCCAGGGATTTTGGGATTCAACCATTCAGATTAATCTATTTCGAGAAAGTTGGGCCACAAAGTGCTGCCATCAATCTTGAATTGTCCTTTTCTCAGGTCACAGAGAACATTCAGCACCTTCCACGAGGAACTGGCCCCCAAAGGAGCATTTTAACCCCCAGAATGGGCAATTTCCAAGCTCAGCAAAGGTGAGTTTGTGCCTGGGTTTTGATTGTCTGTGTGACACCTACAACATCCTGCAGTGTGTTTTCACCATGCTCAGAGTTTGCTCATTTTTAGGCACTTCTTTCTCCCCTGTCCAGCCTAGATATTTATAATATTTATATCACGCCACTGCTTGAGTAGAAACCTCCTTAAAATGTCTTTTTGGTGGAATTTTAAAGTCAAAATGGCTTTTTAAATGGAAAAAAAAAAAAAAAAGTAGGAAATTTCCTTGGTAAAAATATCAGGCTTTAATTACATTTTCATGCCCTCCATCAGGAAAACTGAGAGCTAAAAAAAATCTCCCCCGTGTCTGGCGAGCTACACTGAGAGAGTTTGTCGTAAAATTAGTTGTCATGTGGCTGAATTTTTTGGGGTTAGACTTTTTTTTATTGGAGGAAACCGGAGAACAGTTTTTAATTTTGCGGTGGGAGTTTGAAAAATTCGGCAGCAGCCCGTAAATAAATTAAAAATCCTTGTGCTTCACGAGGGAGTTTTTAACATAAAAACAACCCTTCCAAGTGGAGGTGATCACTGGGCTTAGTTCTGCTGCAACAGATTAGTTCATCCTGGAACTAATTTTAGGCTGGCTCTTAGGCTGGCTCTGGAATCCAGAGAGAAAACCTGCTGCACAGCAGGATTTTGGACACCTAAATCAGGCTTTTGCTCTCCATTTCCTCTTGGAGGAACCTCTCCGTGCCCCTGAACCATCTGGTGTGGCCGGGGCTGCAGCTTTCAGCTTGGGAGGCTGAAATATTGCTTTCAGTCCCTGGAAAAAAATGGGATTAGATAATAAAGACTTCAGACATTGAACCATAATAATAATTAAGACATTTTCTGGGACAGGTGAGATTTGCTGCGGGGATTTGTTAACACAGGTAGGTTGGGTCAGATTGTTCTGGGAGTGTTTTTTCTGGGTGCTACAGAAAGAGGAGGGAAGGTTTTGTGACTAACACGACGAGGCTTCCAAAAATATCCCCTCCCCGGGGCTGTGTGTCCTGCCTGGTGTCTTTCCCTGTCCATCCTCTGGAATTCTCCATCATTCCTGGCATTTTTGTGTCTCTCAAGGCCTCCTTCTCCCACAGCATCACCATTCCTCCCTTAAACTATTCTCCTTTTGTCTCAGGGCCTCGTTCTCCTCTTGGAGAACCTCTCCTGGGATATTGGGAAGGAATTCCTGGCTGGGAGGGTGGGGAGGCCCTGGCAGAGGTTGCCCAGAGAAGCTGTGGCTGCCCCTGGATCCCTGGAAGTGTCCAAGGCCAGGTTGGAGCAACTTGGGCCAGTGGAAGATGTCCCTGTCCGTGGCAGGGGATTGGAACTAAATGATCTTTAAGGTTCCTCCCAGCCCAAACCATTCCATGATCCAAACTTTGTCCCACAATGTCCTCAATTCCCCTACGTGTGTTGTCTTTCCTAAGGAGGGAATTGTGTTAATTTGGCACAATTTATTCCTGGCAAGTCCAGTGGAAATGCTCATTATCATCCTTTAGGTCCTTGAAAAACAGTGGGTTTATTTCATAAGAATCTCTGGGTTTCAGGGATCCCTGTTTTGCTGACAGGGGCTGTAATTCCCATTATTTTTAAAGGGAACTGTTCCCTGTTTCCCAGCCATTCCAGATGATCACTCAGGGCTCTCAGATTTCTGTTGCTGCCTCCTTATCACTTGAGGAAGGATTTCCTCAGCGCCTGATGGTTTGAATATCTTTTATTTGTCAGAAATACGTTGAAGGTGTTTTCCACACCTTGCCTTTCCTTTATTAACACCAAGTCAGGCTTAACTCTTTTCCCTTGACCACAGAAAGAAATGTTATCATAGATTTGACATCTCCGTGGGTTTTTCTCCACACCAATTTTACCCATCTAATTTATTTCTTCTTGCCTTTATATCCCACCACTTGGCATTCATTTTTACTCCTCTGTTCCCCTTCACTCCTCCTCAGTTACCTGCTTTTGCCCTCAGGATTTGCTGATATATTTGTTGATATTCTGGTCACTGAGGAGCTCAGTGTTGAGACCTTTCCTTTGAATCTTGTGCTTTTCCACTGCACATTTAATAGACTTTCCTTCCTCACAGTTCTCTCCAATTATCTTCCTGGAAAACTCTCCCAAATTCTTCCTTAGCTGGGGGATTCTGTTCTCCTGAGCTCTGTTATTTCTTTGCTGCTGCTCTCACGTTTCCTTTTTTCTTACAGTTCTGTCGTTTCACTGAAATTCTCCCTCACTTTGGCACTTGCCAATCCCTTGGAACTGGACAAAAGTTCCACCATCTTTTTCCACCTCCGTTGGATGTTGCAGCCACTTGTCCCCCTGAGAAAGTCAAACAGAGCTGACTTTGTGCCTCTTTCATTCATTCCCACATCTTGACTGGAGCAGTTTTAAAAACACAAGGTAGGGTGGCACATTCATTTCAGTGACAACACTCACCCTCCTTCCTGGAATTCCTGGTTTTTGGGGAGGAACAGATGTCAGTGGGAAACATCTCTAGCTTATTCACAGACAGGCACATCTCCTCATTCTGAGTTCCTTCTGGAGAAAAATTTAAGCAAAAAAAAGGAGAAGAAACGCAAAGAAATGGATTTATCCCAAATTAGGCACGTCTTGGATGCGTGAATGTGGCTTAAATTTTCAATCTGCTGGGGCTTGACCTTGGCAGGACTGAATCATGGAATAGCCTGAGCTGGAGGGACCCACAAGGATCATCCAGTCCAAGCCCTGGCCCTGCCCAGGACACCCCAACACTCCCCCCTGTCCCTCAGAGTGTTGTCCAAACCCTCCTGGAGCTCTGGCAGCCTTGGGGCCGTGCCCACTGCCCTGGGGAGCCTGGGCAGTGCCCACCACCCTGTGGGGGAAGAACCTTGTGCTGAGATCCACCCTGAGCCTGCCCTGTCCCAGCTCCAGCCCTTCCCAGGTCCTGTCCCTGTCACAAAGAGCAAAGATCAGCTCAGTGGAGCCTGTTTGGCCCTTGGGGACTCAGTTCCTGGAGTGATGTCCATCCTGTCCTTGCCTGGCCATGGACACCTTTCCTGCAGTGTCCTGGGCTCCCTCCATGTGCTCCCACCTCCTAAACTCTGGGAATGTTTCTACAACCAACGGCAGTTTCACTGCATGTTCAAATTCTCTTTTTATCCATATTTGCTGACACCCAGAAGGCCCCTTTCTTTGAGCAGGGAGCATCTCATGAACAATTCTGCTTCAGGCTACAAAACATCAAAGTCAATCTCTTTTCTCCTTCTCTCCCAGAAAACCACGATGTGGGAAATGGACTCCCTTGAAACAGAGTTGCCTTCGGGGCAGTTTGTGCTCATTACAACACGCTGGAACAAAATAAATATTATTTGATTGTAAAATACATTTCATTTTCCTGGATCCATTTAAAAATGGGGCAAAAGAATGCTCGGCTCCAGATGTTCTCAGAAGCACAAACCCCTCCAGGTTGCTCACTCTCAATTCAGGTTAGATCACCTCGTTCTGGAGTCAAGGCTTCAAATTCAGGCATTGTCCTTTGGTGTCACTGGACTGGGAGTTGGGATATTCTTTGGCCTGATGGAGAGAGTCCAGAGCAGGCCCCAAGAGGATCCCAGGGCTGGAGCAGCTCTGCTGGGAGGAAAGGCTTGGAGAGCTGGGATTGTTCAGCCTGGAGAAGAGAAGCTTTGGGGTGACCTGACTGTGGCCTTGCAGGGCCTGAAGGAGCTCCAGGAAAGATGGAGAGAGACTATTTCCAAGGGCTGGAGTGACAGGACAAGGGGGAATGGCTTCAAACTGAAGAGAGTAGGGTTAGATGGGATATTGGGAAGGAATTCTTTACTGTCAGGGTGGTGCAACCTTGATTTGTGTCTGAGTGTGTCTTGACAACGTTCAACTCAGATGGGCCCAAGCATGTCATGATGGTTGGTTGAGATTTTTGGGGATGCTGCAGCGCCCCAGCAGCATATTTTCGTTTATTTTGATTCTTAAATGAGATTGTTGGAAAGAAAATCCACATAAAAATATCCGAGAAACATCTGGAAAGAGCCCCATCCCCCGTGACAATGGGTTTTGCTTCTGCCCAGCTCAGAACTTCACACCGTGAGCCAGGAGGATTTTCCAGAGGGCTCCATTTACTTGGAATTCTCTCTGGGGTTTGCCATGCCAGCTGTGGCTGTTGGTCACCTCCTGCCAGTGCTGCCACCACGTTGGTGGGGTTCAGGTGCCAGTGCTGTTACAGAACCTCACTGGTGCTTCTCCTGAGGGTCTCCTGAAGGATCAGCACTCGCAGCAGATGGTGGAATTTTGCCACAGCCTTCAGGAGAAGCATTTTTTGGGCCTAAATTGCACCTCTTATATATAGCACCCAGTGCTGTTTGGCCTGGCAGGCATCCAGAGTGTGGTTCCAGTGGCTCCTCCCGCCGTGTCACAGGACAGGGCTCTCCATGTGAACATCTCCCAGATGTTCTGCCCTGGCCAAATTTAGCCCCGTGGATGGGATGTGGCATCCCGGCACGTAGACAGGGCTTTCCTGGAGGCCGTGGAGAGGCTCCTGTCATCCTGGAAGGAGGAGGATCCCTGCAATCCCTGGGTTTGTGCTGTGAGAACTGTTCCTCCTCGGGTGACCCCCGGAGCGGCCGTGGCAGCCGGGCAGGAGCACAGCGGCGGAATTTGGCAGAGGCCCGGAAAACGTGTCCCAGTTTTCTTGACAGATGTCCACTGGGATGGGAAAGAGCTTTCCCCTGCCCATTAGGGGACCTCAGCAAGCTCCTTCATGGACTCATAGAATCCCAGGATATCCGGAGTTGGAAGTGACCCACAAGGATCATCCAGTCCGACTCCTGGCCCTGCAAAGGCCCAGCCCCAAGAGTCACACCCTGTGCCCCAGAGGGTCATCCAAACCCTCCTGGAGCTCTGGCAGCCTTGGGGCCGTGCCCACTGCCCTGGGGAGCCTGGTCAGTGCCCACCACCCTCTGAGGGAAGAACCTTGTCCTGAGATCCACCCTGAGCCTGCCCTGTCCCAGCTCCAGCCCTTCCCTGGGTCCTGTCCCTGCTCCCAGAGAGCAAAGATCAGCTCAGTGGAGCCTGTTTGGCCCATGGGGACTCAGTTCCTGGAGTGATGTCCATCCTGTCCTTGCCTGGCCATGGACACTTTTCCTGCAGTGTCCTGGGCTCCCCCTGTGTGCTCCCACCTCCTAAACTCTGGGAATGTTTCTACAACCAACGGCAGTTTCACTGCATGTTCAAATTCTCTTTTTATCCGTATTTGCTGACACCCAGAAGGCCCCTTTCTTTGAGCAGGGAGCATCTCATGAACAATTCTGAAGAACCTTTTTCCCAGAAACCCTGACATCCTTCTCCAGCCCTGAAGCCAGGGAGTTTCTCCAGGAGTTTCTCCAGCGGTTCCTCCAGGGGATCAGCCAACGCATCCATATCTTCATGGTCTGCTGTTATATTTTGGAGCTGTGGATCCTTGAGATCTCATCTGGAGATCCCATCCCAGTAGCCTCCCCGGGTTGCTGCTTTGAAGCTGCACCTGGTGGATCTGAGTCACCCAGGTGGGCAGGGAAAGAGCTGGGAAAGAGCTGGAATGTGCATCTCCTTGGCACAACACAGGTGGTGGGAATGAGGCAGCAGGAAAGGCCTTTAAGTGAATGAGGGACCCAAGGGTGGGCTCTGACTCCTGCCTGGGGTTTGGGCTTTGCTTTTCCATCTCAGTGGGGTATGGAAGTGTCCTTTCCCACTTTGCCTGGTAAAACCTGCAAGGAGTTGAACTCTTTTCCAGCTTGATCCAGCCCAGAAACCAAGTGTATCCTGGGCTGTGCCCAAAGCAGGGTGGGCAGCAGCTGAGGGAGGGGATTCTACCCCCCTGCTCTGCTCTGAGACCTCACCTGGAGTTCTGTGTCCAGCTCTGGGGCTCCCCAACATAAGAAGGACATGGAATGTTGGAGCAAGTCCAGAGCAGGTCATGAAGTTGATAAGGGGACTGGAGCACCTTCCCAGGTGGGACAGGCTGGGAAAACTGGGGCTGTTCAGCCTGGAGAAGAGAAGGTTGGGTGGAGACCTCACAGCACCTTCTGGGGCCTGAAGGGGCCTGCAAGGAAACCAGAGAGGGATTTAATCAGGAACTGCAGGGGCAGGACGTGGGGGAATGGGTTCAAACTGAAAGAGGGGAGATTCAGGTGAGATATTGGGAAGGAATTCCTGGCTGTGAGGTGGGGGGGCCCTGGCACAGGTTGCCCAGAGAAGCTGTGGCTGGCCCTGGATCTCTGGAAGTGTCCAAGGCCAGGTTGGATGGGGCTTGGAGCACCCTGGGCTAGTGGAAGGCATCCCTGCCCATGGCAGGGGGTGGCACTGGATGGGCTTTAAGGTCCTTTCCAACCCAAACCAGTGTGGGATTCCATGATTCCATGATTCCATGACCCTTTGGGTGCAGCCCAACCCAGCAGCAGATGGGACACTCAGGGACAGCCAGTGCTGCAGGGGCTGGTCCCATAGGTGAGGCCATGACAGTGAGTGCCATCATTGCCCTACTGAGGGTTTTCCAAGCTCATTCCATGCCTGTCTCCTCCATCACAACAGGAATATCATCTCCCATTGCCTCCAGTGACCTGCTCATTCAGCAGTGTGGAACAGCAGGGCTGGGAGTTGCTTCTGCACCACAAGATCCTTCTGCCCCAGGAGAGTGAAGATTCTGCTCAAAACACCTATTTTTCCCAACAATACCTGTGGGAATTTCTGCAGGCTGGCTGAAAATTGCAGGACTGCAGAGATACTGCCCTGCCCTGGTGCTTCTTCTCTCCCTGAAATTCTCAGTGACTTCAGCAGTTGAGGGCTGGCCCAGAAACTCCAGCATCTCTGGGATCCTTCAGGCTGAAAGGCTCTCCACGTGGGTAAGTTATCATTATTTGTTCTTCTCCTCTCCCTGATCCACTTTGGAAGACAGATGTGCATTCTTTCCCCCCCCTTCCTTCCTGCCTCTGGAACTGATGAAACGTGAAAATCACTTCTTAGATAGAAAAAAAAAAACCAAAACCAACAAACCAACAACAACAGGCCCCCAAAGTCAACACAATACATTGGGAGCTGTTTGGTTTCTAATCTCTGAAAAGGAGCCAGGTCAAACAGACACAGCTCCACTGATAAATTGTTATTCTTAGAGATTTCAGCCTTCCATGGAAAAGTACTGAGCTGGCTCTGTGATCTCCTCTTACACTGTCATCAACATCCAGCAGTGGAAAATTGGAGAAAACCAGCTGCAAGGGAGAGTGTTAAGGGCATTATTTTTAGCTGCCTCATTTCTTTTCTGCCTCCACACGCTCCCCTGTGGAAAACAAGGCTGTCTGT